AGCCCAGGGAGTCCAAAAGGGCCACTGAGCTGGTGGTTGCCATTGGGGTGGCCATGGCACCACAGGAGGCTGGCGGTGTCGCCTAGATCTTAGACCTCCTGCTGCTGGACCTATCTGAACAATAGGTTTCTGCCTTGGACTCTGAGGTCTCCAAAAAGGAACACCATGGAGGAGCAGTACTGGGGGTGGGGCCAATGAGCAGTGCCGAGCCTTTGGAGACTGGTGTGGTTCCCCCATGTGGATGGCCGGCGCCGTGGAGTGGTGCGCCAGAGATGGGGAGTGGTGTGACATCCATTGGGGGGAGGTGACCACCATTGGGGGGAGGGATAGCTCAGTGGTTTGAGCATTGGCCTGCTAAACCCAGGGTTGTGAGTTCAATCCTTGAGGGGGCCACTTGGGGATCTGGGGCAAAATCAGTACTTGGTCCTGCTAGTGAAGGCAGGGGGCTGGACTTGATGACCTTTCAAGGTCCCTTCCAGTTCTAGGAGATGGGATATCTCCATTTATTTATTTATCTATCTATCTATCTATCTATCTATCTATCTATCTATCTATCATAGCCGGCTTGCCCCTAGATGAAATGGGTGGCCAGGTTATCACCGGTGCCTCGTCCCTCTTTGGAGAAAGCGGTGCTGTCAGGCGAATAAGGTCCTGCACTCCCTCAAAAGCCTCCGGAGTGGAGGGGAGTTGAATGTCCCGGCCATGAAGGTCTGGAGAATGATAGTGGGCCAGACTCAACTGGACCCCTTGAGGGGCAGGAGTCGACGAGCCCCTGGGAGTCACCGGGCCCGAAGTAGGCTGAGTGGGTTGGCGTCTCACTGCCGCTGGCTCCTTAGGCTTAGGAAGGAGAGAGCACCTTCTCTCGTATCTCTTTCTTCTGGGGCACCAGGGATGAAGATCGGCGCCTGCCACAAGTCTTATGTTTGGCGCCATGTCGGTGCCGGAAGTCCTTAGCCTCTTTTCCTGGTGTTGGCTTGCACGCCATTGACGCCGGTGCGCTGCACACGGAGAAGGTGGTGCTCGGTACGGGCTCTGCTGACCCAGTCGGACTGTGGGTGGAGGGCTGCCTCCTTGAGGATAACTCTGAGTGTCTGCTCGTGATCCTTAAGGGTTCTCAGCTGAAACCCTTTACAAATGCGGCACTTGTCCTTTTGGTGACTCTTGCCAAGGCACTTCAAACAAGAAGTGTGCGGGTCACTTTTTGGCATCAGTTTACCGCAGACTTCACAAGCTTTGAACCCCGGTGACCGAGGCATCCCCCAGTGTCGGGGAAGAAACGAGGGGGCACCCCCGTAATGGAAACTTAGATAAATGACTACTGACACTACTACTAACTAAGACACTAACTATATACAGATTACAATGGGACACTGCTAAAGGCGCTTGCGGAAGCAAGAGAGAGGGAAGTTCCAGCTAGCTGTCGCTGGCAGTAAGAAGGAACTGAGTGGGGGGTGTTGGGTCAGCTGGGCCATGAAAGCACGACTCCAGGGAGCACCCAGGCCAACCCTATGGATATTGCTAAGGGAAAAATCTTCCGGCTGTCGTGCATGCGGCACACACACACCTGTTTGGAATTGACATGAACAAGCACTCAAAGAAGAACTAGACCTGCCTCTGAGATCAGGCTGTGATGCGTGACAGAAGTACTGATGTGAATCAGTAGAAATTGTAATCTCGAGCACCAGATTGCTACAAGCACTGATGAATCTTCTCGGCTGTCTGGAGGAGGCAGCCCTCTGCTCCCGCCAGATAAATGTCTCCTTAACCACTTCACAGCTGTCCTGGGCCCTTTGGGAAAGGAAGATCCCCAACCTTTCTCTCACTCTTATTGCTCTGAGCCAAAAAGGATGGGTGGAAGAATCCCCCTTTTGTATGATGTGCTGGATGTGATTACTGGATTTGTAGATGAGCTGAAAAGTTCCCAAGTAGTTCTAGGTACATGCTGCCCTTCTCTGTGGAGGTGATAGAGAGGTAGTCTCCAGCTCAATGTGTGTGTTAGAGCATGCACATGTTGCACTGTGCACTTTGCCAAGGGCAATCTGCTCATTCCTAGAATAGGCAGGTACTGCCTCTTCCTATCACTCTACACACAGGTACTGGAGGAAGATGATTTCACCTGTGAGACCATTTTGCCCAAACTGAAAGGAAAAGAAAAAGCCAAGCCTCGTTCTTAGGCCCTATTTTCAGAGCAAGAAATGAAATATCTCTTCTGAACACTACTACAACATAAGTGTACATCTTATCATTGTGACTATCAGTAGTGATCCTGCAGCCTGCCTTCCAGTTGACAACACTCCCACCTTTAGTTCCACAGTAAGTTTTAATTAAATACTGGAATAGTGCTTTGCACTGTATATGCCAGGTAAGTGCCAGGTGCACGGACTGGATGACAGGAGATGGATCATGTGATAATTGCCCTGTTCTGTTCATTCCCTTTTAAGCACCTGGCATTGGCCTCTGTAGGAAGACTGTATACTGGGCAAGATGAACCATTTGTCTGAACCAGTATGGCCATTCTTATGTTCATATGTTCTAAGTGCTAAATATTAAAGTACAGCTGAGATGGGGATTGTGCCCTTGTTAATAGTCAGTTGAGCTGAAGCCCTTCCTCATTAGCATTACAGTTTGCTGTACAATTGTTCAGTGATATTAATGTTGCTTTGAGTTTGCCAGCTCCAGAGGTGCTAAGAATTTTTTGATAAAATTTTTCATAAGGCAGATTTAACATTCAAAACAAGAATCTGCTTTCAAAATTATTTTTAAATTAATGTTCAAGTTTGGAACTTGTAATAGTAAATGCCATACCATTACACCAAACAGCATGTCTTAAACTGTGAAGACAGGGCACATACTTTCAACTGTACCAACTTCTGATTACAGCCACCCTTTTATGTCCTCCTCCAACCTTTGTCTTTGCATCCTCTTTCCTCTCCCTGAGCTGGTCTACTGTGACTCACTCTCTTTAAAACATTCATACTTAAGCCTCTAAATATTAATCCTCCCCTTTAACAAACTTTAACAAGTGGTTCAGAGGAAGAGGATGGAAATGGAGAATTCACAAGACATTCTGTACAACTCCACTCAGTCATTTGCTGCTTGTTGTACCCTAACATTCATCTATATGTTCATTATCTATTTAGATTCTGAGATTTATGTAGGTAAGGACCTTGTTTTCCCTCCTCTTAGAAAAGCATCCAACACTCTTTCTGTGCTAAATACGTAATCTGAAATACTGTATGGACTGTAACCTTCCCCTAGAAATAACTAGGTTAAGACTCATAGACTTTAAGGTCAGAAGGGACCAGTATGATCATCTAGTCTGACCTCCCGCATGATGCAGGCCACAAAAGCTGACCCACCCCCTTTCCCTTGACTCAGCTGTTGAAGACCCCAAATCCTGTGATTTAAGGACTTCAAGTCGCAGAGAATCCTCCAGCTAGCGACCCCCGCCCCATGCTGTGGAGGAAGGCGAAAAACCTCCAGGGCCTCTGCCAATCTACCCTGGAGGAAAATTCCTTCCCAACCCCAAATATGGCGATCAGTAGAACCCCGAGCATGCAGGCAAGATTCTCCAGCCAGACCCTCATTGACCATTGATACTATTTACCAGCGATGGCACGCTGTTGATGAATTAACTAAAATCATGTTATCCCATCAAACCATTCCCTCCATAAATTTATCAAGCTTAATCTTAAAGCCAGAGAGGTCTTTCGCCCCCACTGTTTCCCTCGGAAGGCTGTTCCAAAATTTCACCCCTCTGATGGTTAGAAACCTTCGTCTAATTTCAAGCCTAAACTTCCCCACCGCCAGTTTATATCCATTTGTTCTCGTGTCCACATTAGTACTGAGCTGAAATAATTCCTCTCCCTCCCTGCTGTTTATCCCTCTGATATATTTAAAGAGAGCAATCATATCCCCCCCCCCAGCCTTCTTTTTTGTTTATTTCAGTGAACAAACTTTGCAAGTCTCTCATCTAAAAGCAATAACATAGATAATTGTACTTAGCAACCAATTTGTTGTCTACTGTTTTGCTACTGGATGCACGTACATGCCTCTGTAGCCAGCTGGACCCAACTGTATAGTGTTTCATCTGTCTGATATCCAAATTAACTTTGTTACAACAGCAGCACATTATTTTTAATCATAATTTTGTAAACCTTTGTAAACTCGATGGTTTTGGGGGTGTTATTAGGAGTCTCAAATCTTGGATAGCTGAAAAAAGTACCATCAAAAATTCCTGAATTTCAGGGAATTGTCAGACCTCTGGAACATTGTAAATCCTGCTTCAGTTTATCCTCACCTTAACTATATGTGCTGTGTGTGAAATTCTAAACTAGAAGGAGCAGCTTCATAGTAATACCTAGCTCTTATATAGTGCTGTTCATCAGTAGATCTTAGAGGACTTTACAAAGATGGTCAGTGTCTGTCTTCCCATTTTACAGATGGGAAAACTGTGGCGCAGAGAAGTGAAGAGACTTGCCCAGGGTCACCTAGCAGGCTAGTGGCAGAACCAAGAATAGAGCCCAGATCTTCCAAGTCCCAGCCCAGAGCTGTCAGGAAGGTCTGACTGCCTCCCATAAAGAATGTGTCTTACTTTGAACCATGTTGCAGTAGGTAATTTCTGCTTCCAAATACCTAATAAAAATTGCTCTATAATTAACTGTGTTGGCAAGAGAGGAAGGGAAGGAGCTTCTGATTAAGGATCTGGACTGGGACTCAGGAGATCTGGGTTCAGTTCCTGAATCTACCACAGCTTTCCTTTCTGACCTTCCTGTAGATTGCTTAATCTCTTGGTGCTTCAATTTCACATATATTAATATGGGAATAATAATAATACTTTTTCTCCCACCCCGTGTTTATGTGGATGGTAACCTCTTTGGGGCAGGGACTATCTCTTACTATTTACGGTACCCCATCTTGGTAGAGGTCTCTAGATCCTACCATGATACAAATAATACCTCTGAGATATTAGTGTGTGTTTTTCTTTCTCTTTCTTTTAGGGAGCAAAGGTTCTACTGGCATTTGAAGCTCATATTTCCTCACAGTCATGCTGAATACACAGTAAAAAGGTACCTGAGATTGTGAAAAGCCGATGTCTGTAGTTAATTATAGCAAACTAGTTTTATAAGACTATTTGGTTAGTTTCTTAGCCATCCCTTTGTATGTGATAATAAGACTCAAGATAAAGAGTTGTTGGGGTTTTTTGGGGGTGGGGTCATTACAAAGGGGGCGCTTCAGGTTAAATCACTTTTTAAAAATACTAGTTTTGTTTCTATCACCTTAGAAGCATAACACTGAAGTCGGTTTTCAAATTGAATTTCTCTAATTTAAATACTTGTTTTATTTGCTAATCTTATGTAAATAGAGCAGCCTTGTATATGACTCTTGATGCTTGCTGTCCACATGCATCAGCATGCTAATATAGAGGAGTTTTGCATACTCCCAATGTTTTCCTTGATCTTCAGAGAAAATCCTGCTCCCTGCAGGAAATCCTCTCCCATACCAGAGAGGATGGAAAGGAAGCAATGTTGTCTTTGTAGCAGATGCTACTAACCCCCTCCCTGGAAGGTGCCTTTAGGAAAGCAGAAAAACAGCAACTCTCCTTAACAAACAAAAACTACCTCTTCTCTCCCCAGGCCTATTTGGGGTAGGAAAGCTCAGAAGTAGGCCCTCTCCATTTGCTCTCAGGGCTGCAAGGACTGGAAGTTGCTTTTCCAGCTGCAGGCATGGGGAAGGATAAGAGGCAGGGTCTCAGATTCCTTCCTGCAGGTGCCAGCTAAGTCCTAATGTTGAAGGAGAGTATGTCTGTGCTGCAGTTAGACACCCATGATTGGCCTGCACCAGCTGACTCAGGTTCACTGGGCTATTTAATCGTGGTGTAGATGCACAGGCTGGAGCCTGAGCTCTGGGACCCTCCCCACTCAGGGTCCTAGAGCCCAGGGTCCAGCCTGAGCACAAACGTCTACACTGCAGTTAAACAGCCCCTTAGCCAGATCTCTGCAAGGCCCAATTGACACGGGACAGCCTTCGGTTTTTACTTGCAGCATAGACATACTGTGTGTGCTGGGGCTGATAATATCCATTGCTAGCTTGTGCTATGTTGATGTCCATTGCACCTTTTCCAGATGTTACCTGCTGGTGTTATATCAATTTAAATATGGAAATATCATTTCCTTAAAATTGCTTTAATATTTCTTTTTGAATGATACTTAATAAACTGCATTTTTATCTTTTTGGCCAAAGGGTGCCCGATGATAAAACACTAGGTGAAATCCTTAAACCTTACCTTGATCCTGAAGAATCAGATCCTGTTATTCGTCAAAGGTATGTATTAAAAACCATTAGTAATTTTACTTAACTGATTTTAAAATAACCAAACTATTCAAATAAATTCTGTCAAACTGTCAGTTTTCCACTTTCGCTATTCAGAATTGGATTCCTAGCTAATAGTGCACGCACAATCTTTGTGATGAAAGCCACCTCATTAATACTTATTGGCTGAAACTAAATTAGGTAAATGTCATGATTCTAAGGGAAGGAAGGAGTGAGAGTAGCTGAATAAGGACTTCAAAAAGCAGACTTTAACAAACTCAGAGAACTGGTAGGTGGGGTCTCATGGGAAGAAAATCTAAGGGAAAAGGGAGTTCAGGGCAGTGGTGATTCCTCAAGGAGACAGTATTGAAGGCACAACTGTAAACTATTCCAATGCAAAGGAAAGTTCAGAAGAATGACCTGAAAATTAAAAAGGAATTCTACAAAAAGTTGAAACATAGCGATATTGATAAGGAGGCAAAAGAACAGCACGAGGTACAAAAAATAAGTTACATGTGGCAAGGAACATAAAAGGCAATAAGAAAAGGTTCTTTAAATACATTAGGAGCAAGAAAATACAAAGGAAAGTGTAGGTCCTTTGATTATCGGAGAACGAGAGCTAATAACAGATGACCTCAAGAAAGCTGAAGTGCTTAATGCCTATTTTGCTTCAGTCTTCGCTAAAAAGGTTAATGGTGAGCAGATACTCAACACAATATTAACAACCAAGGCAAAGAAACGTAAGCCAAAAGAACAGGTTAAAGAACATTTGGATAGATTAGATGTAGTCAAGTAAGCAGGGCCTGATGAAATTCATCCTAGGGTACTTAAGGATCTAGCTGAAGCAATCGTGAAGCCATTAGCAATTATCTTTGAGAACTCCTGAAGGACAGGAGAGGTCCCAGAAGAATAGAGAAGGGACGCATAGTACATATCTTTTAAAAGAGGACCCAGGAGGACCCAGGGAATTATAAACCAGCCAGCCTAACTTCAGTACCTGGAAAGATACTGGTGCAAATTATTAAACAATCAATTTGTAAGGACCTGAAGGATAATAGGATTATAAGGAATAGTCAGCATGGATTTGTCAAAAATAATGACAAACCAATCTAATTTCCTTTCTTGATACGATTATTGTAGTGGATGGGGGAAGCAGTAGATACACTATACCTTGATTTTAGTAAGGCTTTTGACACCGTTCCACAAGACATTCTCATAGCAAATTAGGGAAATGTGATCTAGATGAAATTACTCTAAGGTGGATACACAACTGGCTGAAAGACTGTACTTAGAGTTATCAATGGTTTGCTATCAAATTGGGAGGCTGTGTCTAGTGGAGTCCCACAGGGGTCAGTCCTGGGTCTGGTACTAGTCAATATTTTCATTAATGACTTGGATAATGGAGTAGAGAGTATGCTGATAAAATATGCAGATGACACCAACCCGGGAGGGGTTGCAAGCACTTTGGAGGACAGGTTTAAAATTCAAAATGACCTTGACAAATTGGAGAATTGGTCTGAATTCATTGCGATGAAAGTCAATAAAGACAAGTGCAAATTACTTCAGTTAAGAAGGAAAAAAATCAAATGCACGACTACAAAATGGGGAATAACTTTCTAGGTGGTAGTACTGCTGAAAAGGAGCTGGGGGTTATAGTGGACCACAAACTATATGAGTTGTCAATGTACTGCAGCTGCAAAAAAGGCTAATATGTTTCTGGGCTCCCTGTGAGCTGAGGAGTGAAAACATTATCATAAGACACAGGAGGTAATTGTCCTGCTCTACTTGGCACTGGTAAGGCCCCAGCTGGAGTACTGTGTCCAGTTCTGGGCACCACAGTTTAGGAAAGATGTGGACAAATTGGAAAGAGTCCAGAGAAGAGCAAGAGAAGGGATAAAAGGTTTAGAAAACTGACCTATGAGGAAAAGTTAAAAAAGGAGAGCATGTTTAATCTTGAGAACAGAAGACTGAGGGCAGACCTGATAAGTCTTCCAGTATGTTAAGGGTTATTGTAAAGAGGACAATGATCACTTGTTCTCCATGTCCACTGAAGGTAGGACAAGAAGTAATGGGCTTAATCTGCATCAAGGGAGATTTAGGTTAGATATAAGGAAAAGCTTTCTGACTATAAAGGGTAGTTAAGCTGTGGAATAGGCTTCCAAGGGAGGTCATGGAATCCCTATCATTGGAAGCTTTTAAAAACAAGTTTGAGGAACACCTCTCAGGGATGATCTAGTTTACTTGGTCCCTTCCAGCCCTACACTTGTATGATTCTAAAGTCATTGAATTTAAACTAGCAGCACTCAAAGAAATTGGCTGATGATACAAATGAAATGATTAAAAAATCCAAAGAATTAATTTAAATGATGGTAGTGTTAATGCCTTATCTGGAGAAAGTAGAGAAACACATTTGCAATCCAAGCTCTGATTCGTAGACTGTCTTAAAATTCTGGCTAGTGGCAAACCTGTATTTACATTGACAGGAAGGCTGTTTTGGTTGTAGGCTTCTAAAAGTTTGTAAATCTCTTAACGGTAAAAAGTGGTTTAGACCTTTTCTTTAATATGGTTTGCTTAGATTTCATCCATTTTTTTTTCCAGATTAAAAATATATACAATGTCTCCTCAGTCAGATGTGCAAATTTTAATGAAAATAGAAAACAGGCAACATAATTCTGTCAGGTAAGGGATATATTTTTTCTGTATGTAGGCTGTTTGTTTATTTTTTAGAGAGAAATTACTTGTTGAATATATTTCCTAGTCTCTAGTGGTGCTGTGATAAAGGATAATGTGTCTGTACTCTCTGATTAAATTCCTTCTGTTTAGCAACATGAAATTACAAAAAAGTTTCAGGTAAAATCAAGATAAAGTTTAGTGAGACATCTGTAAGCATCTGCAAAATTAAGTTGAATTTACTGTGCCACATGATGCTTTCTCAACATTACTAGCTGGTCAGATTTCACATTTTGGTGTTTTTGGGACTTAAGATTCAGGCTTCTTGAACCTAAACTTTAATAGAATTTTATTCTTATATTAGCTCTGGAAAAATTTGTTTTATACCATCAAAATAAAAACAAATAGCTAAAGAAATAATTCTACACGTATCATAAGCACCATTTACAACACTCCACCCAGCTGCCATTGTTATTGAAAAGAGTACATACTTTTAATACCATAGTTTATTGCGGTTGACCAGTAATTCCTAGTTAAGATTTCTAAACTGCATTCCTTTTTTCAAATGCAACAAACTTAATGTCATGTAACTTGTTCCCTGGAACATGGCATACCACTATTGAAGAAAAGCATTAATGAAGTTACAAGAAATCCTATTTCCCTGTAATTAATTTCATTGTAAACTCTATGCAAGAGTGAGTGTAGGATATACTCTGGATTTGAATGAAAGAATGAAATTTTACAAATTCTTAACTTTTCTTCTTCTGATACTTGTTTTTCAATAACTGTTACATTGGCTACAAGATAGTTGTCAGCTAGCAGTTTTTCTTTTTGCGTAAAATGAGCTGATTTCTACTTCAGGATTTTTAATACATTAAGGAGACTTTGTCAGCTTCTACTTTTTTTAAAAATTGACTAACTTTATAAAATTACATTTCTGATAGAGCACCATTTAAATAGTATGTACAGTGTTTTTTAGAAAAATTCCCCATTTTAAATTATTTTTATTTGGGCTTTTCTGCTCTCCTGCTGATTGGTTTGGCGGAGGGAGAGGGAGGGGTCAAGAGCTCCAAAAACATTTTGTTGAAATCTTTACTTATTATGATTGCAGCTTATCTTATTCCCTTCCTCTTTGGGCATATGTTGCCTGCCACCACTGAACTGAGACTTGCTGCTGCGGAGTTTTTTGGTTTGGTTTGGTTTTTTTGCCATGTAGGCATTCTTTCTATGAACTAGTAATAAATTTGATTAGGAGGGGGGAGGATCAGCTTGATAAAGTATTTGACTTGGAATCCGAAAGTGTATGTTCTTTTACCTGCTCTATTGTGGACAGTTTGTGTGCCTGTCAGCAAGTCACATAATCTCTTCTCAGTTTCTCCTTCTATAAAATGGGCATTATATTTTTCTTAGTTCACAGAGGTATTGAGCTAAAATTCATTAATGGTTTGTGAAGCTCTTTTGGATCTTCAGATAGAAGGTGTAGCATATTTAAAATAAATTAAAAACGCTTAAGGTTGATCTTCATCTTATATGTCCAGATATTCAGCAAAATGTATGGGATTATTTACATGTTTAATGTTAGTACTTAAGTGCCTTGCTGAATCCTGGGTATAGTTATGTATTCCTCTTGTGGAATGTGAATAGAAATTAAAACTTTGTTCTGTGCTTGATTAACTTACCATAACATTAGGAAAAATGGTCTAAACCTACTAACCAAGACCAAAGGTAGACCTGAGCTGTGGTTCCACAGTAGTGTCTAAAAGGCAACATTCTAATGGGAAGCCCAGTGCTTTAAAGGAAAGACTAAAGTTCTGGTTGAAGTTGAGTATTACAGGAGAATTTAAGAACAGTCACCAACATCAGAATTGCTCTTTTGTCTGAAATCTTCACTTTTTATGATTACAAAGAGGACTGTGAGAGAGAAAAATCTTCCTTAGATTAACTGCATTTATCAGCACGTTTTGTGCAGTCAGTTATCTTCTGTTTTTGTGTGGTTCTTACACACACAAAAAGGAAGCAAAATATTTTTAAAAGGAAAATGTGATTGTAAAACACCAAAAATTTGGTGGGGCACTCAAGCAGGTAACTTTTTTTAGGTGATAGATTTAAAGCTGATGGCATCCCTTTTAAAATATCAACACTTAGCAAATATATCAGTTTCAATTCTGTTAAAACAGATATACTTGTTTTTAGTGCAGTTTTGGGTGCAGCAAGGAAGTTGAATGCTGATCTTTGCTATAACTTCCTCCCCCTTTGTGTTCCTCCTGATCACTTCTTCCCCCACCACCATGTTCCTGCCCTATATTGGTAAGGGTAGTGTTAACAGCTTTTCCTCTATTGTGCAGGCCAGGTCATGCTTTAATAACATGGGTTTGTCTGTGTGGAGATCTAGTGCACAGCAAGCTAGGGTGTAAATCTACAGTGTTCTAGCCTGCTGCCATGCACTAAAAGTTGTGGCTGTGTGGACCCTGCTGCCATGCACTAAAAGTTCTGTAGTACACTTCGATATACTGCTGTTTCACTCTGCAGCATTCCATGCACTGCATGTCAGGATAGACAAGCCTATAAGTACAAAAAGTACCCCATAATCCACCAGTGCTCTTCTCTGCTCACATTGTCTAAGATCAGGCAGAGCAATGACCCAGCTTGTGAAAGGAACCCTTTTACCACTGAGTAGCGGGTTGGTGGAGGAAAGTACCAG